ATGGGCATTGCATGACACGGGTGCACTTACCTACATGCAGGCAATATACGCATACATATAAAATAAAAAAAAATTTTTAAGGAAAAAGTGTTTATTTTGGCTCACAGTTTGCAAGGATATTGTCCATTATGGGGGAGATATGGAGGGAAGGATGTAAGGCAGCTGGCTGCATAGTGTTTGCATTCAAAACAGAAAGAGATGAATTCTGTGCTCGAGTTTTCTTTCTCCTTTTTATTCAATCTGGGACCTCAGCCCGTGGTTGTTGCTGTTCACATTCAGGGTTGGTCTCCCACCTCAACCTAATCTTTTCTGCTGGAAACACCCACAGCGACATGCACAGGCCCAGGTGACCAAAAAAATTTCGTGCACTTTTGTGCACTTGTGAGAGTGCATGCGTGTGTGTGTGTGTGATTGGGCTCACATATGAATCCAGAGGTCAGCATTAAGTGTCTTGCTCTATCACTCTCCACCTTATTCTCAGATAGAGGGTCTTTTGTTGAACTTTGACCTCACTTATTGGCCAGAGTGGTTGGCCAGTGAGCCTGTGGGATCCTCCTGCCTCTGCCTCCCAGTGCTGGGATTATAGACATGCGTTACTATGTCCCGCTTCCCCCTTCCCATATTTATTTATTTTGTGTGTACATGTGTGTGCACGCACGCCATGCCATGGTACACATGTGGAGGTCAGAGGATAATTTGTGGGTATTTGTTTTCTACTTCTATCGTGAGTTATGGGGATTGGACTCAGTTGTCAGGCTTGGTGACCTGTGCCCTTACCCCCGAGCCATCTTAGCAACTCTACACCTAGCCTTTTACATGGGTGCTGGAGATCTGAACTCGTCCTCATGCAGCAAGCATTTTACCCACTGAGCCATTTCCTAGTTCCCATTCTAAATCCAGACAAGTTGACAATGAAGATAAACCATCATATTCACCAATGGATTCTAAGGCAGGGCTTTGTATCCTGTTTACTCAGGTGCCAGAACAAATAAAACTCGTATTTCATTCACTGAGTCACAGTGTCCCTGTGGCTTTGTTTTCTGGCTGGCTACCAGTTGTTTTTATTGTATATTGCTTTCTCATGTTCCTGAAAATTCAGTTAAGCTCTGACTTGAAATAGCAGCCAGAAAGCTCCAGGTGGGATTTCGATATGGGAACCAATGATGCTTCTGTGACTGAGGGGCTCAGATGGAGGACAGCCTCAGGCTCTTTGCTGTTCAGTCCTCCCAGGTGTGCTCCCTGTACCCCAGCTCTGATTCTTCCAGGTGTGCTTCTACCTACCCCAGCCCTGTTCCCTACCCTTCCCTAGTGTGTTCCCACTGCCCCCAACTATGCTTACTCTCTCCAGCTGTGTGCCTTGCCCCCCGCACAGGTGCTCCCCATGTGTACTTTGACTCAGGTTTCCCTCCAGCAGCCAGAAACTGAGCTCCTGAGCTTGTGGTCACGAGGCTGGGAGAGTCTTGCTCCAGCTGTGAAAAGTTCTCCTTTGAGTCTGACTAGACCACTTCAGTTTCCATTCATTCATTCCCAGACTGTCCCAGCCTTTATCCTGAACCAAATGGGGGTGGGGTGGGTGGAGTGAGGGGGAGTTCATGGCTGACTGCTTTTTCAGGGTACCCTGGAGTTCCATCAGCTTCTCCTGAGAGGGGAGGGTGGCTGATGAAGGGAAACCTGTCTCCTCTTGTCAGGTACTTGCTAATGGCACCATCCTGAACTGCCTGACCTCCCTGCGGAAAGACAACACAGGCTATGATCTGAAGCAGCTGTTCATTGGGTCAGAGGGCACCCTGGGGATCATCACCACCGTTTCCATCTTGTGCCCACCCAGACCCCAGGCTGTGAATGTGGCTTTCCTTGGTAGGTCCCTCAACCTGCTTCTGAGCTGACTGGCGGGAGTGGGCAACTGCTCTGGACCTGGCTTTTCAAGCTAGTTCCCTCAGCTATTCTGTTGGTGTGAAGGTGGGATGGTGTGAGGATGAGATGATGTGAGGGTGGGATGGGAGGGGCTCACTGCTCCTAGCCTTTGCTTCCTGTCTGGAGATCTGGGACTTGGCCCTCTAGATGTCCAAAATATAGCCTAGATGACAAGTGATGCTCTGTCTCTGGTCAGAACACACTTCACTGTAACAAAATGGATTATTTCCAGGGTGTGTCTCTCTGATTCCTGCCATTCTAAGTGCTCTATGGCACCTCTTAGGCACAGTTTCAGATTTAGAGATTGGTGTGACCCCAAGATGTACTTGTGGGTTGACATGTGGAGATTTCCTGCAGCATCAAGCACCTGTTCCTCTCAGTCAGCTTGCTGTCCATGCGAGTCAGGTTAATGTCCCTGCTGGGAAGTGGGGACCTAGCCAGGCTGTGGGTGAGGTTCTCGTGTCAGGGGGTGGCTCCTGTTGTCGTTCACTGTGTGGTGCCTGATGCATTGTGCCCCATTGCAGGCTGTCCTGGCTTTGCTGAGGTTCTACAGACCTTCACCACCTGCAAGGGGATGCTGGGCGAGGTCCTATCTGCATTTGAGTTCATGGATGCTGAGTGTATGCGGCTGGTCAGACAGCACCTACACCTGGCCATCCCAGTACAAGGTATTCACCCCTGTGCAGTTGAGGAACAGTGCTCTGCTTTACAGCATAGGACATATTGGATGGCTCAGAGATCCTGGCAGTGGAAGGTCCCAGGAGGATGGAGGGTCCCCAGGAGGGTTGGCAAGTCTGCATGGAACACTGGACATTGTGCATAGGAAAGCTGTGCTATTTTTAACACTTGTATTATGTCTGTAGTAGGATGAATTTATATTATTTTTCTGGATGAAGCCTTAGGGTTGTGTTTAAGGGGTGGACAGTGCTACTCAGTAAGTTAGATATACACATTTGAATTTTTTTGAAAGTTGGAACAATAAGTCTTATGATGAAAAGCATAGCCTTTAACATGTAGTAGCCATGTCTGAGGATATTATAGGCTATCTACCAACAAGTGGTCTTCCCTTAGGGCTCTGGGGTTTGGTAAGAGTGGAGAAGCCAGCTCTGAGATCCTGTGGTTGCTCTGCTGTGCTAGACCTGTCCCGTATCAGCTTGTTGGGAGGTCCCCAACTGGACCCAGCCTTTAGGCTGAGGGTGAGCAGGATGGGTCTTTATGTAGAAAGTGATGTTTGTTTTCTTTGGCAGCAGAAGACTTACATTTAAAACATGTGGAATTCAGCCTGCCTTAATGCTTCCTGGTTCATAGGTGGGCTCAGGTACCCAGGCAGAGCTGCCTTTGCTGTGTGATCCAGAGTGGTTCCAACTCTAGATGCAGTCAGTAGGATCTGGGCTCACTCTACATCTCTTACTTCCTTGCAGAGAGTCCATTCTATGCCCTGGTTGAGACCTCAGGCTCCAGTGTAGGACATGATGCTGAGAAACTGGGCAGCTTCCTGGAGCAGGTGCTGGATTCTGGCCTGGTGACTGATGGCACTGTGGCCACCGACCAGAGGAAAGTTCAGGTGCTCTCACACTGTTCAATGTCCTCCTTCTCTCCCATCCATATAATGAGGGCCTAATCTGTCTAGCAGTGACAGACAGAGTGTGCAGGGTATGTCTGGTTTTATGGTATAGATAGAAAACCTCTTTGGAATGAAAAACGTATTCTAATTATCTAGGTTATTTACACCAATATTTAAAGGAATATCCCGTCCCCCTTCATCTTCCCACCTCATAGATGCACACAGCTGACCCTGCAGCCTGTGGGTCACTTATGGTTTCTCACAGATGTATTTAGCATGTGGAGAGGCAGGAAGAACTGCAAGGACTATAGAGGGTGAGCCTGGAGGCCCAGTAAGTCCTAGGGAAGAGGGAGGAACAGATCTTGATTCTGTTTCCAGAAGTCATTTGGCCTCTTGGTGGACAGAGAAAGAGGAAGTAGTCCTGGGATGTGGGAACTGTTCATCACCTGTACTGCGGGGGAATTCTTACCATTCTGGCATCTGGCAGTTGTTAGCTGCCATGTGGGTGCTGGGATTCGAACCCTGGTCTTCTGCAAGAATAGCCAGTGTTCTTAACTGCTGAGCCATCTCTCCAAGCCCCTGGTTTATTTCTTATTTTGTTAATGTAATAAAAGATTTTATTGTGACATTTTATGCATATATATGATTGTATCTTATCCCTATTTGCCTCCCTATTGCCACTCCCTGTCCTTCCTTCCCCTTCCCACTCATCCCCTTCCTTGCTCTAGAGAGTTCCTCTTTAGATCTCATGCCAAATGTGTATTTGTGTATATAGAGTTAAATATACATTCTGAATATGAGAGAAAATGTGATGCTTTAAAGTATATAGCTTGTTTACTGCACTCTGACACATAGACCAGCTAAGTGATGTTGCTGCAAGATGGGATTAGTTTAGCCAGGAGCAGAGGACTGGTTTTATCGAAGAGGCCTCTCATTCCCTGCCCAGACTGGCTCAGTCCTTACCTCACCCTGCTGGAGGCCCACAACACATACTGGATTCCTCTAGGTTGCAGTCATGGCAAGTCTGGTGATTTTGCTATCCCTGGTCTACATGTCCCTTAAGTCACCAAAACCTGTTGGATGACTGCCCTGTGAGAAGCAGGCATCCCACGGATTGGGCTATAGTCATGACCAGACTCTGCATCACACAACTCACCCCAGTGCAGTGAACACGCTAGTCAACTCTGCCTTGGGAGGATCCCTGAAGGGAGGCAGCACAGGTGGGATGGGAGGGGGGGAAAGATGTCCCTAAGTTCCAGAAGTATGGGGGGGCTAGAGCAGAGGTAAGGGGCAGGGGCAGGCTGGGCACAGCAGACTGCAGGACAAGCAGAACACAGCACAGTGCTGAGGTAGAGGAGCCCGTGAGCAGCAGTTCTGCCGGGTTCTTCCTAGGGTTGGATATGTCTATGGTGGAGGTTGGGTGGCAGGCAATGTGGCCAGGTGCCTATAAAACTTGATGAGAGAATGGGGAGATTGGGACTCTGGCTGTATCCTCAGTGATGATGAGGAGCTGTTGTTGTTTATTCAGAATTAAGCTTGGCATGAGGTGATATTAAGAAGAAGGGAGGGACTATGGAGATAACTCCATCAGCAAAGTGCTTGCTGTGCAAGTACCTGTGTTCAGTCCCCAGAATTCATGTTAGAAGCCAGGTGGGATGGCATGTGCTCATAGTCTGCGTACTGGGGAGGTGGAGAGAAGTGGGTCCCAGCTAGCCTAGACTACTCATGGAGTCCCAGGCCACTGAGATAACCTTGTCTCAAAAACAACATGAATGGCATTATGAGGATGGACACTCAAAGTTGTCCTCTGCCCCCACTTCCCTGCACACACATTTGGGGTGAGGAGAGAGGGAGAAAGGGAGGGAGTGTAGAAAGAAGGGAGAGAGAGAGAGAGAGAGAGAGAGAGCAAGAAAGAAAGGAAGAAAGGAGTTCTTATCTTTTAGAAGTTTCACTTGGTGTGTTCCCCGAAATGATGAAGTTTCTGCAGGGGCCAGCCCAGGGTTCAAGGTCCTGGTGGGTCAGGGTAGTGGGTGGTGGGTAGCTCTGCTGTGGATTTCCAAAGACAAATGAAAGCCAAGTAGTCTATGGTACAACTACTCTGAATGAACTACTTTACTCCAAGTCCCCTTCTGCCCTGCCTCAGTTTCCCTATTCTAGCCCTCTTCAATAGCCTAGGCCCCTGTGTGTGCAGCCCCTCTGCTTGCACACCTCCATAAAGACCAATGGACTAAAGCAGCACTGTCCTAGTGACCGTGGCCCAGAAGCCCTGTCGAAGTGCATTTAATTGTCTTCTTTCATCACCCTAGACGCTGTGGGCCCTGCGAGAGAGGATCACAGAGGCACTTAGCCATGATGGTTATGTGTTCAAGTATGATATCTCCCTCCCTGTGGAGAGGCTCTACGACCTTGTGATTGACCTGCGCACCCGTCTTGGCCCTCTGGCCAAGCATGTGGTGGGCTATGGGCACTTGGGTGAGTAGCATGTCATCTTGCCACTGTGAGTCACACACATCCACTATGGTGATCCTCTGCAGCCAAGCTCATCAGCTCAGCCCCAAGGCTTGTCCTAGTGAAAGGAGCAAGCCCTGCCATTGTTGATTGTTGGCATTTCTCTCAAGTGTTTTGGAGAAGTCTGCTGCTTGTGTGGTGGAATGGCTAGAAGCAGCCTATCTCTTTAGACGGTGGGATTTCAAAGCCAGTTTCTAGTCATTCTGGGGAGGGCAGAAAGTGGTGCTTTAGGTCACATGCCATTAATTTACAGGAAGGTCTCTCTCTGTCTTTGGCACCTTCAGTTCAGAGTATCTCAAAGCCCAGTTCATGAGAAATGTGCTAGGGTCGGGACAGCAGTGTGGCTGTGGTATATGACCTTCCTGCTGGCTTGCTACCTGGCTCTGTGCACTGGGGCTTACTTGCCCTAAGTTCTGTAAGATGGGGCTCAGTAGCTACCATTGATAACTTGTAGAGAGTTGAAGGAATGGGGCAAAGGGTCTGGTTCAGAACCAGGATAGGGATGGGCAGGGATAGTCACCGAGCAGGGAGAGGCATGTCTAAGAGTGTCTCAGGGCTGAGAAGGGTTCTTGGGGCAGGTTCCTGGGGCCTACCCATCCTAACCATTCCCTTGTTCCCCAGGGGATGGCAACCTTCACTTGAATGTGACAGCAGAGGCCTTCAGTGAGGGGTTACTCAGTTCTTTGGAGCCCTACGTGTACACCTGGACAGCGGAGCAGCAGGGCAGTGTCAGTGCGGAGCATGGCTTAGGCTTCAAGAAGAGGCACGTGCTTGGCTATAGCAAACCACCTGTGGCTGTGCAGCTCATGCAGCAGCTCAAGTTACTGCTGGACCCCAAGGGTATCCTGAACCCGTATAAGACACTTCCTGCTCAGGACTGACAGGAGCCCTTCTGCCTGCTGCCACAGTATGTCAGGGGCCTTGGGTATGCAGGGCTGGTGGGCCTGGAGGCTACCTACAGGATGGCACCAACAGCAGGCCAAGTATCTGGTCTCATCAGCCAGCTAGGAGCTAGCTCTGAGGCCCCTCCAGGTTATGTTACTTTTCTGTCAGGGGAGTAGAGCAGATGGAGCTGTCTGGCCCCACTCCCCTTGGCCTTCTGCCAGCTGATCTTGGGACAGACTAGGTGGGCGGGCAGCTCCCTTACTCCCTAACAGGCCAAGTCTTACCTGTTCTGTGGTGGCCCTGGGGGCATACCTTGTTTGTTGCAGCCCTGGGAGGGGCCTTGCCACTGGATCCCCATGCAGTGTGTGCTCTGTGAGGGCTACAGCAGAGCTGATCAGCTCTAAACCAGGTACCAATCATGGTCCAGAAAACCAAGATTTATCCATCCGAAGTCAAGTGGAACCCACTGTCACCCTGAGCAGGTCCTGGGTTTCTGACTATGATCTATCTGACCAGCCCATTTCCCCGCTGTGATTATCTTGACCCTTCTAGCTAGAGGATAGTCCTGGCACTGAAGTGAAAGCCAACTTTCAGACGAGCATAACACATGGGCCGTACACTATCCTCTGGGACTTGGCCAGCCTCCCAGGTGCCCTCTTGACCTTGGATCTTGGCAGTCTGGGAAGTTGGACACACCTTTTTTCTTTTTGACTGTCATCAATTTCCAGAGAAAAATGTGAATCACAGCCTTCTGCTGTTGCTGCTAGAAAATTATTCTCATAAAGACATTTGTAAAGTTCTGGCTCATCATGTCCATCCATGCATCTGGACCCTGGGGAATGGGGATTCTCAGTAGTTTTGTATGTGGATTGGGAAGCAGATGTGTTGGTGGTGCTGGATGTTTAAGGAGGGAGAGGCTGTGGCCCCCCTTCACAGTAGCCTGGTAAAATAGGTGCAATGGCTGGGAGCCAAAAGCAGGTGTGTGCCAAGCACTTTCTGCCAGTGGCAACTTTACCCTTCCTCCTGCTGGACATCAGTTCCTGGATCTTACAGTGGTCGGGGGGGTGCCGTGTGATGAGCACTTGGATCATCTGTTCCTTGGGAAGGTGCTTCTTAGACCCACTCTAGCTTTTCTTTTGTGCCTTGAAAACTGCATCTTGAAGTCAGTATCATCTAGGAGTCAGTGGACTACAACATGGCTGGTGTACAGCATATGGCTGAAAACCAAGCTGCTGAAAGTTGTATTGCCACTGACCAAATGCTCACTCTAAGACAGGGAGGCAGTGAGTTATACCCATCTGTAAAAACCTGTTACAAACAGCTGGAAAAATGAACTTGCTTCTCAGAATCTGCTGGCTGATCCAGAGCACAGGTACTGAGGACTACCCTGAACCTACCCTGGATGCACAGGAGATAACCCTGATAGAATATGCGAAACTCAGGAAAACCATAAACTTCATCAGAGGAGGCCATAAAGGCATAAAATCATTAGAGTGGCCAAAGGGCTCAAAATTGTAAAAGCATAAAGTTCCTCAAGTGACCAAACAGCTATAGATTGGCAGTTTGGCCTTGCTCACACCTTATCAGTCACTCCTGGGACTGAGAGAGACTGTTTGTGAAGCTCATCTGTCTCCTCTAGGGTCTTAGATAACACACCTGCCAAGTCTGAGGAAATCTTATTTTTTTATTTGTGTATACATATATTGCCTGCATATAGGTAAGTGCACCCATATCGTGCAATGCCTGAGGAGGTCAGAAGAGGCTGTCGGATCCCCTGGGACTGGAGTTACGGACAGTTAGCTGCCATGTGGGTGCTGGGATTTGAACCCAGGTCTTCTGCAAGAACAGCCGGGCTTAATCGCTGAGCCATCTCTCCAGCCCCTGAGGAAATACTCTTAAGAGAAGACCCTCAATTACTACAAGGACACCAAACCCGGACACTAATTCAACTCCCCACAAAGTGCAGCTGTCTCACAACTTTCTTATAAAAGCCCCGGGTTTCTTTGTCTAGTTGTAGATGCTTGGTTCCTGCAGTCAGCCTCTCTCACTGTATCTTCTTTGAAGGTCTATTCCTTGCCTGTTGCAGGTCTGGCTCTGGTTTCTTGTCTCCTACTCCTCTATCTTTCCTTTTCTCTAAATATCTAACAACTCCCACCCTTCATGGGAAGGTATTGGTGTTCCTGGCCTGCTGTCCTTGGTCAGATGCATATCAGTGAGATTCCTCATCATTGGAAACCTCAAGCCCCTGACACAATCGTAATCCTAATGTCTGTAGTTATACACCTCAGCACAGGAAGAAGAGTGAATCCTCAGAATGTGACAAAACCTCTGTGGGAGACAGAAACAGCTGACCTCAAAGGCTAACCACTCTCACCCATTGCAGACAAGAGTCTCCATTGTGCAAACTGGGAGGGGTTATTGTGTTTGGATTAAGAGACAGGATTTCATCTCCAGACCTCTAAGCTGCTGCAATGTGAGACCTTGTTTCATAACCAGGGTGGTTGGAGGAGCCCAGCCAGGGCCAGCAGCTGCCCAGTGACAAACAGGAGGGCATGACCCAGAGGTCTCAACCTTAGGGAAGATGGCTGGGGCATGAGCAGGCTCTGCCCAGGACTCAGGAGTTGTGTGGTCCTCCAGGGCAGGATGTTTCACAGAAGCAGAGGGACAGATGCCATGTAGAGGTAGTCAGGACCCAGGGCATCTGACAGCTGTAGACATGGAGATCTCCCTGGTGGGGCTTGTGCTCACTGGGCCCAGCACACCAATCCATGGTTACCCCGAACCAGCTGCAACACTGTCCGGCTGCCCCTGGACATGGGGGATACAGAAGGCCTGTTCTGGCCTTGGGGCCCGCTTTCCCCATACCCTCTCATTGCTGACCATCTGGTGCCGGTGCCAGCTGGCCGAGATGAACAGCACCTGAAAGGGGGAGTGAGGATCGAAAGAAAAAACAAGAGACAAAAGATCCTTGGGAGGACTGTCAGTAGAGACCGCAGCCCCGGTTTACTTCAGCTCAGCCTTTTTATGCACTAGAACATCAGAGATGGCCACCGTTTGCTTAGCTCAATTAGCTTCAACAGCTGTCTTTTCCCACCTTTATCTGAGGGTCAAGGAATGGTCAAATACTTGTGAATTCCACCAATTAACCATCTTCCCTAAATTATCAACACATTCCTCCTGACTTGGCAGTATAATTAGGTGCTGGTGTGTAAAACACACAAACTCTTGAGTCAAGGCAAAAGATCATAAAGTAAACAAGCAAGCCTGCCACAGCTCAGTGTGCAAAATGGCTGTGCTTATACTAATAGCTCCCAACAATCTGGGATCCCGAAGCCTGGGTTGGTAGGTGACTTGCAGACATTATGAAAGAAGCCTTGCTCTGCAGGAGCAGTGGAAGCAGAGTAAGTATAGCAAGAGCCGCTGCTGCTCTGGGACCTGTCTCTGTAGGACCCCAAACCTAGGCCCTCGTGGGCTCTGTCCTGATGGAGCATCCCAGCTGAGCCCAGTGTTATTTTTTCTTAAGGAAGATAGTGCAAGCAGTCCTGAAGTTGTGGCATTTCTCCCCCCATGTAGCCCTTCATCACTCTGGTCAGTGCTGGGATCTGCCCCTGAGAGAGGCTCTATGCCACTTCTGCCCATTCTTGTACCAGGTCTAGGGAAGACAGGCTGGGGCAGGTACTGCAATGACTCAGAACTGAAGAGGTTAGCCATGGCCGTATACACTCATGGACACTTGCCTATCCCCTGGATTCAGTGCCCTACAGAGAATGTAAGACTTTCTATGACATTTCTATAACAGCACTTAGCAGGGTGGCAGGTGAGGAGGGGCTCTAAAACATGACCTGTGCATGACTTAGATGAGGCCTGGATGTGGCCTGGGCTGGGTAGTGCATGTAGCCTGGTCCATAGTTGACTTCCCTGGATTCTGACTTGTTTACAGGACTGCAGTGTTCCCCACCCTCCCCACTGGCCCTCATCCAGCAAATGTAACAGGTGTTTTGGGACAGTGGCTCTGGAAGTCACATGATGCTCCTTTATTGCAGAATGTGTGGCTGTCAGACTCCTCAGTTTACAGGCAGTATGGTTGCCAGAGCTATTTACCGCCTTGGCTCTGCAGCTGTGGGGCCTTGGGACCGTGGGAGATGGGAGTACAGAGTGGCAGGACACATTCCAGGTGAGTCATGGGAGAAGTAAAACAGTTTGCTCTGACTCTGGAAAGCGGAGACCTGGGGGTAGCCAAGGCCCACAACAGGAGGCAGCCAGTATCAGTTCTCCCATTGGCTCTTACTGAACCCTGGGCTGGCAAGGGATTGCATTGGAGAGAGTCTCTGGGCTAGAGCCCTTCCTTCTGCAGGTTCTGCTAGCCTGGCTCATGGCTGTCCTGCCCTGTTTGGAGGCAGGCAGTCTTCTTGTGCAGTACCCCTGGCCTGGACTCCATAGAAGTCCAAATTGACCCTTTGTCTTTTTTCTGGCAACCTCTACCTGAGGCAGAGCTGGGTTAGCAGCTGGCTGGCCAGGCATGCCAACTGAAGAAGCAAACTGGTGGGCTCTGCCAGCCTTGTGCTTCAATCTGTGGATCTGTGAGCTGTGGGTCTGGCTGAGATTGGGCCCCTCTGCACAGGGCCCAGGCTTTGTGCTCATCTCATTGGGAGAGCTGGTCTGATGGGAAGCAGAGCTCTTGGCATATGGAACTGTTCTCCATACTAAGCATCTAGTGGACCAGCAGAGCCAGCAGGAGGTCCCTATATCCTCTAAGAAGGCCTGTTCAAGGCTTGCTCACTGGCCAAGAACTAGGGCTGGTCACAAAGGTCAGAGCAAGAGCCAACACCATCTGTTGTGGCCCTGGGGGGCATTCATTATCTTGTCGATTTGCATGGGACCTTGTCTGGATGGACTTACCTCTTAGGGTCAAATATGGCAAGGATTTCGGCAGTTTGTTCATCTCAGAATTATATATATATATATATAGGTGTTTAGACAGGATCTCACTATGTAACCATGGATGGCCTGGAACTTGCTGTGTAGACCAGGCTGGTCTCTAACTCCTAGAGATCCACCAGCCTCTGCCTCCCAAGTGTTGGGATTAAAGGTATGTGCTACCATGTCTGGCTTAAAAAATATTTATTTATAGGTTTCCTAGGGAAAGAAAGAAATTTTCACACAGTAAAATCTACAGATAAATGTTTGTCCTCTTTCAAAAGTTCATTTGTACCCTCAAGATTTAAAAGACAATTTTGTTCCCCCTGGGTGTACTGCTGCATGCCTTTAATCTCAGGAGACAGAGACAGATCTCTACAAGTTTGAGGCCAGCCTGGTCTACATAGTGAGTTGCAGGTCAGCCAGGGATACATAGACCTTTTCTCAAAATAAAACTAAAACCAGATTTTTTTTTTTGCCTAATGTAAAGGAAGCTTTGAAGAAAAAATATTTCTTGCACTTGCATTTGATCACTCATCTGCAGAACTGTTGACCTATTCCCAAACCACTATTACTCACAGAGATTTAGAGAATCTGTCTACTTCTTTAGTTCTGGATCCAGATGCCTTTATAGGTCTATCTCCATGGGGGCAGCTCCCTCCAAGTCCACCCTGGGAAGACTGATGTGGAGGGTAGAGTGGAAGGAGCAGGTATGTGTCTGACCAAGAAGATTCTCCCAGGATCTACCTGGCACCAGAGAAGGGGGAGGCCCAGTGAAGGGCTACTTCCCCCTAAGCCTAGGAGAAAGTCTCATACCTCTTGATGACAGAAAAGTTAATCCAGGTAACTGAGGGGTGGGTCATGGGTGGGGATGAGGGTAAG